CCAATCAAAGTAACTGAACTGCAAGTAGTGAAGTGGCGCTGGATACAGTTTGTGCAGAACCAGGAATTTGCTGCCGAGATCAAAGTTCTATCTAGTGGTGGTCTGATAACCAAAGGTCCATTAAAATGTTTATCTCCATTTATRAAGGATGGTGTCCTACGCGTAGGTGGCCGACTGCAGCATTCAGATGAACCATTTGGACGCAAACATCCTGCAGTACTACCAGCCAACAACAATATCAYAAATATGATATTTCAAGCACGTCACTTACGCCTCCTACACATAGGCCCTCAAGGACTCCTAGCAAACATAAGAARTKAATTTTGGCCTCTCCGTGGTAGAGACAACGCCAGAAGGATTGTTCACTTATGTCAGAAATGTTTCAGAGCCCGACCAACTCCACTACTACAGCCAATGGGCCAACTCCCAAAGCCTTTGCTTTGGTCACGCCAAGCAAACCGTTTTCTATCACCGGAGTGGACTTTGCAGGACCTATCCAAGTCAAAACAGGTCTGAGGAAGATTGTACTAGTAAAAGCATACATAGCAGTATTTGTATGCATGGCAACAAAGGCTGTTCATCTCGAGCTTGTGAGTAGTCTAACCAGTGAAGCGTTTCTAGCTGCCCTACGCCGGTTCACTTCTAGGCGTGGTCTACCCAGACAAATTTGGTCTGACAGCGGTACTAATTTTGTTGGTGCTCGCAAGGAACTTAAGTGTTACTTAGCAAGCACACCCAACACTAAATCAGTAGCTGAAATACTTTTTTTTTTCTTCGTTTGAACCGACAGCAGGGGAGGATCTGTGAGTAGCTGAAATACTAGTGGACGACGGCATACAATGTGTATTCATTCCACCCAATGCCCCGCATTTTGGCGGGCTTTGGGAGTCAGCAGTGAAGTCCTGCAAACATCACTTATACCGTGCTATAAACTCTTCTCACTTCAACTTCGAAGAACTTACCACACTATTGACACAAGTGGAAGCATGCCTCAACTCAAGGCCTTTAACTGCCTTATATTCAGACCCTGGAGATCATCAACCCCTCACACCTGGTCACATTTTAGTAGGGGCTCCATTACTAACACTGCCAGATAATGATGTCACATAGATTCCATCAAATCGACTAAAATGGTGGAAATTAGTACAGAAAGCGTTCCAACTGTTCTGGAAACGCTGGAGAGAAGAATACTTGTCTTCACTACAAGGCAAGAGTAAGTGGATACAATCACCCTCCCAGATCGAAATTGGTACTCTAGCTGTGCTGAAGGAAGACAATTCTCCTCCACTCTCTTGGAGACTTGTCAGAGTCATAGCAACACATCCAGGACAAGACGGAATAGTCAGGGTTGTCACCTTACGGACACCAAGCGGCACTGAAATAACCAGACCAGTTGTGAAGATCTGTCCTTTACCAGCCTCAATTTGAAGCCACAGCTTCAAGGTGGCCGGGATGTATCATTATAATG